TATTTTTAAGGGTTAGCTGATAATATTACAGCATTAATTAATGGCTTTAGCTTTGATTTATCTTTTTTTCAATGTCACTTTATCGGTCTGTTTTATATGCGCTTGACTAACTCTTCTCTCCAAGTCATCATGGCACCATGTTCAGCGCTTATCTCACATTTGAAGATGAATGTCTACAACAAATCCGAAATAATTGTTGTCATTTTCTTTCTTTTCCATCTTGAGACAGTACGCTGTGATGGATTGTTTAGGCAGCATTTCCATCGAAAATGGAATGAATAAGAAATAAACTCTCGCCATTTGACGCACACGAAGATGCGAGCTTTAACCTGTAGTACAGTGTGACATTGATATAGAAATAAAGTTTTACTTTTGACAATCATCTTCACTGTCTGCCGACTTGGCTGCACAATTTGGTAGAACAGCAAAGCCTTAGAAGACCCCTCCTCCCCCTGAGGCAGAATACTGAGTGTTAGTTGTTCCTCTGGCTGTCATTTTTGCATTTAACTCGACGGATTATGACAGTAAGTCAAGGCTGTAGAGTTGATTTTCGCATACTTTGTTAATTATTGCTACATATTACTATCCACTGTTTGGTTAATATAGAAATATTATTTAAGGTCAAAGTGAGTAAAGCAAAGCGATAGCCGTCTCTAGATTAGCCGCCTCTGAAGAAAGGATGAGAACTTGAGAAAATGCAAAATGGGAATTAACATATGAAGCAAACTCATTCTCTGTATCATTATCTTCGACGTAGAAAGCCGGTTCCAAGGCAAGAAGGCCAGCAATGAGAGGCTTACGAAGGTGATGAGAGAGAACAAGTTTATTGTCATAATCAAGAAGGCCACATCTGGGACGACTATTTTTAAGGATGGCATCACCAGCATCATCGTACATCTGAGATGCCTTTAACTCAAAGTTCTATTGTCTGTCTTGCTTGTATCATTTGGAATACCTTGTTGACATGGTAACGCGGACTTATAGGCTAGTGTTTATCGGGGCTGCCTTCCGTTTCTCATCTTCCGAGGCTGTCTGGCAACGGCACTTCTTGTCTGTACATGTGACCGGTTTGGACAGAGTGGGATAGGCGAAAAGAGGCAAATAAACAGAAAAAGTGAGCCAGGGAGCCGGGAGATGACAGGTCACCGGCCCATACTCAATGACTTATCCGAGTCCCGATGTGTCGTGGTCCCATGACCTTGGGCTGAGTCAGACGGTGTAGAGAGCTGTGAGGCCAATTCAGAATAGACTAGACTAAACTAGACCAGTCCAGACCAGAATAGAGCAACGAAGAGTAGAGTATAGTATAGTAGAGTAGAGTATAGTAGGGTAGAGTAGAGAAGAGAAGACTAGAGAAGAGTGTAATTGAGTATAGTAT